TATTAGTTTGTCGTGTGAAGCAGAACTCAATAAGTAGCTTCCTTTTTTTGACGTGTAATGATTACATCAAACTGCGCTGTGTATGCGGTGACACATACATTGGGAGAAGTAATCGAACTATGAAGTCAACGGTGATGGAGCATATCCCTAAATGGTTAGAAAAATAATTACTTTACAATAATCCAATAAATACAGGGAACAGACAGACATCATAGTCGATAGATAAATATATTGTAGAAACAAGTCACAGGATTGACGCCAAAACAGCCTTTATACCATTGTATAGGAGCCGTCAAGATGGTATACTGAGGTTCATTAAAGCCTTAGCTATACAGAAGTTCAAACCGACTTTGTGTATTCAAAAACAGTGTTTCTTTACCTTAAATCTACACCTTGGTAATCTTTAATACCAAGGCAGAAGATGTGAAAATGTATTATTCCTCATTATTATCCCCATATATTCTGAATCCTGTATTATCTTTACTTATTTATTTTACCCCACCCTACCTCACCCCACCTCACCCCACGTTATTTCCATCTTTTATATGAAATATCTTGACAATTTAATGTGTGATCAGATTGTTCAAAATGTATTGTATGAATAAATCACACATTTCAAGTTTTTATTCATCGTAGACTGACATCAGTCGGAGGAACAAAGGAAACCTGGGAGCACTGGATGGCTGTTTCTTCCTAGTGAGCTAACAGAAGTTGGAAATATTGACCATTGGATTCTGACTCAGTGGCTAGCTCAATGGTAACATGCTAGCCGCGGAACCGGAAGGTCACGGGTTCGATCCCTGGTGGTGCTGGGTCGTGGGTGCGCACTGCTGAGGAGTCCCATGCTGGGATGAAACAGCTCTCCAGTGCTTCCAGGCTCCCAACGTTTCTCTAACTGATATCAATCTACGATGAATAACAACTTGAAATATTTCCAATTCTCTCATCCTCCCTCAAAATTCAACATCACACATTTCTTAGATAACCTCCATCTTCTTATTACACTATGTATATTTTCACCTTGTTGAAATCCTTACCTTTCTCATTATTTCTATTGTCTAAAAGAGTATTACGCAACTTCTTCCCACTGCTTATTTTAGTTCTAAGCACTAGCTTAGTGAGTCAGTTATATCGTATTGTTTAATGTTCTTGATAGATAAAAATACGATTGTGCACCTTTAGAAAAGGATATCGCTGAAAAGGAAAATTTTCTCCGCTGAATTTATATCTTTGTTTCTGTATGCATTAGATATCCTTCGTTGTCTTCTTGATTCTGTCTTAAATCTAAAGCATTGCAATCATCACAGCCAAGATGCATTATGTAAGTGGGTTTGGTAATCAAATCTCACTTTGTTAAATTCTTTTTGTTTTCAGTGTTTGTGAAGAAACAAGAAGGGTGCAGAGTATAACTTCTCAAAATATTCAATCATCATTTTTGCACAGATATCTTGATCATTGAGATTATCTGCAACAAAATTCAATTTTAGATACCAAATCAGTAGGATTATTTTTACAAGATGATCATTCATCTATTTATGTAAATTAATATTATTTTATTATTTGTCCCTTGGGTTCCTACTGGAACATAGGGTTTCAGTAGCACGTTTCCATTCCACTCTCTTCTCTGTAATCTTTTCAACCTGGCTCCATGACTGCCCACAAGCTCTCATTTCCTCCTCGCATCATCTCCTCTATCTCACCCTCACCTCGGATGCCTAACTCGTCGTTTCCCATCTGGGTTCCACTCGAGTGACAAACCTGACGTATGATGTCCCCAGTCGGCCTTCTCAGTGTATGCCAATTCAATCCATCTCCACTTCCTCCAGTGCATATTTCTTCAGCGATAGGTACTTGCTTCGTTGTTCCATTCTCAGAATTCCTTGTTGTTTATTCTTTCTGGCCTTCTCATCTGAGCTTGAATAACGAGCGTAGGCAGTTGTTGATGAATGTCTGTGGTTTGTTGGAAATGCCTTTCGTGACGCGCCAAGTCTCTGAACCATACAGAAGCACCGATTTGACTAAATTGGTGTTGAAATTCCGGATGTTGTTCACGCTTTATGCTGAGTGCAGAAGATCTTGACACTGGTTTTAGGCTAATGAACGCCTGTCTTGTTTTTCCGATCCTGGCTTTGACGTCCTCGTCTGTGCCTGTGCCACCTGTAGTTGAAACAGTGCTGCCTAGATAGATGAAGGAGGCTACCTCTTTTAGGTCTCTCCTGCTGATGGTGATTGGAGCTCGTTGTTGTTGTTGGTTGGGTATCTTCATCACGTCTGTCTTCTCTACATTCACTTGAAGTCCTGTCTTCGCTGCCTCTTCTGTCAACTTGTTAGTTTTCGCCTGTACATCTTCGAGTTTGTGTGACATTAGACATAAGGCATCGGCAAAATCCAAGTCTTCTAGGATCTTTTCCGCGGTTCAGCGTATCCCTCTCTTCTCGCGCCTCGCTGTTTGTTGCATGATCCAGTCCAGTCGACCACAATCAGAAAGATCATGGATGATAGTAGGCAGCCTTGTTTTACTCCTGTCTTCACTTCAGTGGCATAACTGAGCTTCCCACTGTGAAATACTTGGCTGGTATGTGGCATCTTCATATAGTTGTTGAATGAGGCTGAAAAAGGTTTGTGGTATTCCGTAGTGTTGAAGCAACTGCCAAATTACTTGTCGGTCGGCGCTGTCAAAAATCTTTTCAAAGTAGATGAAGTTGAGGTAGAGAGTTGACTGCAGTTCTAATTGGGACTCGTCAGCTAGTTATACCTATCTCCCAGTGACTGGTATTGTCCCCTCCTAGACTTAAACCGAGGACGGATTGCTTCAAATTCCATAGCGTCACCCAGTAATCTACCAAGTTTTGAGTCTTAATGGGAACAACGTTACTCACTGAGAGGTAGGTACATCCAGCTGACGGGTTCCAAACAGGACGAAACTCGCGTCCAGGCTTCGCACTGCTAACCACTATCCATAATTGATATAGGCTATAGACAGCTTTACGAACATGAGATTTTAAGTGCAGATAAGAACCATTCTGTCTAATACTACCAACCTGTAAAAGTTTCACTCAGTTAAACGGCATCTGAATTATCAATAAGTTTGGAAATAGAAACCATCATGATCTGAGACCAGAGTGGAGGCAACTGTATTTTAAGTAGTAGTGGAAATTTATCCCAGATAGTTGGATAACGTGTCGATATTATCTAATACCGTCCACGCATACCACTGAGTTCAAAATACATTGTGACAGACACGTTGGTCATCACATTAACTATTTAATCTTAGTGCTCATTGGCAACTTGTCTCGAGAGGGGATTTCCTGAAGTGACCGGTACAGTCAGCAAAATCAGACGTGAGAACACTTACTCAACGACAGCATTGGATATATATCGCACTATATAGGCAAATGACAGAATTAGGAAATAGGGCTAAATGGTAACGTGCTGACCTTGGAACCTGAAGGTCATGAGTTTGCACGGTCATAGGTAGTCACTGGTGTGGAATCTTATACTTGGGTGAAACAGCTGTGAAATACTCCGAGGTCTCCAATGGTATTTCATTGATGTTAGTCCATGGTGATTACCAACTCGGAAGTGTTTAAGTGTTAAGTATTTACACTTTCAAGTAACTGGTAAAGCCTATTAACTGAAACTCTCTGCACAAATTAAAACTTGATTGCAACCACATTACACCATAGCTTGTTGGCAGGAATATACATTCATATGTAGACCTGTAAAGGTGAACAAACGAGCATCATTGGCGTTAATGATAAAGGTTTCCGCAAACTATGTTAATCAGGCTGTCTGTAAAATGAACGATTAACCAATCGTACTACATACAACAAGTTTTTAAATTAAGAGTCAAACGGTAAATTATTCTGATAGTAGGCAGGACTTCTCCACACTCACTAATATTAGACAAATAGGTCCAGAAAATAAAGCAGATGAATCATGTCTACTGAAGTGTTATGTGACTAGTGAGTTATATGTATACAATTGGAAATCTAATGTACAACCACAAGATAAAGTAAACGTTTTGATATAATTTGTAAAAAGAACCAGATCTAGTAACTTTTTTAGTAAAACAAACTTGGGTAGGATTTTTCAAAATGAAATATAAAATCTTCTAATCACAATGGTTGGTATGCAAACGTTTCTAGTATTCTCTAATCACTACCGTGGATTTTGAATTGGAAGTAATAATATCTCATAATAACAATAATAATTATATAATCGAACCGGCATATTATAAAATATCCTTACATATTAGGGTACCGTAATCATTTACTTCGAAATTGACTTCTCAAAGTTCTAATGATAAGTTGTGACCTTTGAGATGAGCCAAGTTGGAAAAGAAGACAGCTAGCTACTTATCGATGATACCACATAGTAGTTACGTAATTTATTGAACTGATAGAAGCAAAAAATAGTGGACCCAGTTTTTAAGATAGTAATATCTCCACTACTCGATCTGATGGTCCTACACTCTACCTCCCAAATGAATGCATACTACTGAAGAGCCCCGGACTGGGACGAAACGAATGTCTAGTGCTGCTTGGTTTTTAATCATTATTCAGTTGAAATTCATCACATACGTAATGAATACTACTGTGAAATCAATCGATCTGTGTAAACTGTCAGCTGAAAAAAGAAACCAATTAGTAGAATTCGGTTGTTTTTGAGCTGTTGGAAATAAAATTACAAATTACAACCAGACGATTATTAAGAAATTTATCTCATCACAAGCAACACAGTAAACACCCAAGTTTAAGATTTACTTGTCTCAGTAGACGAAATATATTTACTTTGACTGTCTACTTTATCATTCTTAATTACTATGCAATTATTTATTCAAAGTAATCTATATTACAGTCAGAAAAATACACCAACGTAAGCAAATAAACAGTATTGGGTTTCATTCTTGTGTTTTTAACAAACAACTCCATGTCTGATATAAGAGCTCCGTAACTCATGTAGATAAATCTGATATTGATAAAGAGAGTAATTGTAAAATGGTTAACGGAGTGATTCTTCTTTCCAGCATTTGTATTCTTGGCCTTGGATTATCTCTTCAGCCAACTGAAGGTGAGTCGACCAGCCAGTTATTATTATTTGTCTTTGGGTCCCTAGTGGAACATTTGGCTTCCGTAAACGTCACCATTTCACTCTTTTGTCTACAGTCTTCTTAACCTGGCTCTACAACTGCCCATAAGCTTTCATTAATTTTTCATACAATCGTCTCTATGTCACTCTCAGACGCCCAAGTCGTCGATTTCTCTTTGGGTTATACTAGAGGGCCTGACACATGGTGTCCCCAAACCGTCTTCTCACTCTATGCCCAATCAAATCCATCTCTACTCTTTTCTTCTCCATATTTGTTGGAAGATAGCTTCTTGCTTCATTGGTTGGTTAGTTGGCAGACCAGAGTTCCTCCTTGCTTATTCTTTCTCGCCTCCTCATCTCATCTTCAGTATGAAGCGTAGGCGGTAGATGTTGGTGGACGTCTGCAATTTCTTGGAAATGGTTTTGCACAAAGTGGGCGGCATTTTCATCAGCTCTGTCTTCTCTACGTTCACCTGAAGCAAGTCTCGTCTTCACTGCCTCACCTCCTTTGCCAACTTGTTGATTCTTACCTGTTGATCATCGAGTTTGTGAGACATTAGACAAATAATCATGGGTGAAATGCAAATGTTCTAGGGTCTTTTCATCGGTCAAACAGTATATGCCCCTCTTCTCACTACCCAAAGTTTCTTGTATGATCCAATCGACCGCAATGAAGAAGATGGTCGGTGATAGTAGGTGGCAACCTTGTCTTGTCGTACCTGTCAACCTGTCTTCACTTCAAAGGCACCACTCGGCTTTTCATTGTGAATCACTTGGCACTTAGCATCATCATCATATAGCTGCTATTGAATGAGGTTGTTAAGGTTTGCGGCACTGAAACCGTAGTGTTGAAGCAGCTGGCAAATTGCTCTCATTGGACGCCTCGGTCAAACGCCTTTTCAAAGTGGATGAAGTTGAGGTGAGGAGTTGATTACCACTTTATGCTCTGTTCTATGATGATGCGTAGAGTTGAAATTTGATCCGTACATGATTTGTTCTTCCTGAATCCAACCAGCCTGTTCCAGTGTTAATTTTGAATGCAGAGCATGTATTTTAGTTTCTCTAGGATGATGCGACTTAATATTTTGCTTGTGGTGGACAAGGGCATGATTCCTCTCCAGTTCTTGCAGAGACTTGGGTCTCCATTTGTTGGGAGTTTGACAAGGAAGCCGTCCTTTCAATCGTTAGGCACCTTTCCCTTCTTCCAAACCTTCTGAAATTTTGGTGTGACGACCAGAAAATATACTACATAAGTTCGAAATAAATGATATACGATATTGTTTTACGAAGTCAGTAGATGCCTTCTGCTTGAGATGCAGATGAATGACTTAGGTCAAAAAAACGAACTGAACTTCAGAGGTAAGAATTTATATCAGGAGAGACGATCTGTAGCTGAGCCACCGAATAATTAGACTCTCAAGTTCCAACCTGTGAGTGTCTCTTGTGTTGACTACATTTTGACAACTGAGACCAATTAGCATCATAAGCCTTCAGACAAGGTGTGACTTACACACAACTCAATACATAAAACATGTACTGGATTATTTTGCAATAATTATTAAAATTATTTTGTTCAGTGATGGTTCAGCTTCGAATTTGGCTCACAAACTTCTACTACTAAACAAGTTGGCTTTACAGCGTTTCCTTCAAATGAAAGTGTAATTTATTGCTGGCTTACAAAAAGAATTGGATTTATTACGATTTATTGAAATGCTCATAATTCTCCTTTGTTTTACTGGACTGAATTGTTCGGCATCTATTGGCATAAGGGTTCCTATGCGGATGCTTCGATATTGCCTGAATGTTAATTACGGTAATTTACTTGGTTGCAGCTAGTAAAGGAATCCAAGACATGCGTTTAGATCTATTTGAGATTCACTGGTCAGCTGGATGTACACCTACACCCTAGTGAGTGATGTTGTTCACGCCTTGATGACTGAAGCGATGGGTATGAAGTTCGAGTATCGGTGGGTACAACACTGTACTGATGTGCAGGTACATCCAGCTGACCAGTATGTCCCAAATAGGACGGAACGAGCGTCCTGGATTTTTCTGTTAGTCACAACCAAGTAAATTACCAAGAATTGAACTTTATTTGTCAAGTTGGTATTCATCGTAGACTGACATCAGTTAGAAGAACATTGGAAACCTGGGAGCATGGAATATTTGTTTCATCCTAGTGCAGGACTTCTCAGCAGTGCACACCCATGGCCTGCTTCGTCATCGATTGAATCCATGACCTTCAGGTTCCGTGGCCAGCACGTTACCATTGAGTCACTGGGTAGCAATCCAATGGTTCATATATCCAACTTCTGTCAGTTCATGACGTAGCACGATCATCATCCAGGATGAAGCAGCTGTTCACTACTTCCAACCTTCCAATCTTCCTCCAACTAATGTCAGTCAGTGATGTATGCGAACTTGAAAAATCACTAATTCCCCACAAACTCCCAAATTGAATTTACTTGCTCGAGTACAAGAACAACTTGGAAACCTTAAAGAGCAATTTTAAACTCCTAAACCGCAATCGGAAGACTGACAACATGTTAGTATCAAATGTAAAGAGATTTTCTTTGAAGATGACCCCATTTGGATGTTCTTCTGTGACTCCTTATAAGAAGACGTTTTTATTCACCTTGATTATTACGATCAATCAAATTAGATAATGCTTTATAACTCATCCTTTTAACTAAAGACATTTTCACAAAAAATGCAACAAAATTTAGTCGTCTATGGAATAGTTTTTTGATAGACTCTTTGTATAAATTTTCGATGGTTAGAGATAATCTGCAGGAGGTTTAAACAAATCAATGTGTGGGAGACAACCAACTTCATATAGTTCAGTACTGAGTACTAATAGAATTTTCCCGATTATTTTACAATATGACCACCAGGTTAGGTGGCTTTGGTTACAGACTTAGTGTCTAAAGTTAGTGAGTTATGTAGATGTCGATTCCTGTGCAGAATTGTTTTAGATTTTACCTCTGATATTCAGTAGGTCTCTTTAGGAAATGCAACTAAGCTGTCAAACGATAGAATTTTTGTTGCTGGGTCAAATGTACATATTTTTTCTAAAAAATTTAAATGACCTGGATTATTTCGAGGAGATTCTAGAGCCTATAATTTCACTGATTTATCTATACAGGTATTTACATATTTAGTCACCCTATAAGTTTATCTGAGATACCGAAATTGTTCATTTCATCTAAATTTGACTAGGTATCTTTAACAGTCTAAAATATCAGATTGAATGTTTTATCTTTTAAGGAGAATAGCATATAATTGAAGGTGAAGAGAGGTCCAGTCGAGCAGAAAGGTCTGTTTATTAGAAAATTACAGTCGGTACTGATAAAAATATTAAATCTTACAATCTAGTTACATTCTACTGGGCACCGCAGTATGTATTGGTATTACGGAGATTTATTTATACCTGAGATAACGTTTTCTTTTCTCCTAAACCTCAGTAGTTGGCTGTTAATATTAAGCATGTTTATCAATGTTGCGCTATATATTACTGATACATATCCTTTTAAGCGGCTCCTAATACATAAGTCCTGCCCCTCCACACTTGCAACAATTTCACCAGTGTTGGTAGCGTTCCTTCCAATAGGTTAACAGAACAAAAAGGTATTCATTGGAGACACTTTTCAATACTATTAAAATCTATATATTGAAAAAATGATTTATTTTCAGGGGGACCGAAATCATCGGATGGGTAAGTTAATAAACAGTGTTATAGAATAATAATTGGTTTATATTAATAAAGTGATTGAATGATACAACTGAAAATGGTATTTACTAAATTAGGCTATACAACTGTTCAATGTATGACTCAGGTTGTTCAATCATCTTTCCAGGTTTGTCGTTTCTATTTCACCCAATCCTTATGAATTAGAGAACTGATATCATTATTCAAAAGTGATCATTTATGGATTGAATTTCAGCTTCTTCAGAAAATCAAGCATTTCACTTCTGTCAGTCTCATAGTAAACAGACTGTATGCATCAGAACTACTTGGCAATTTTTTGATACCATGCGCCTAGTTCTTAATTTATAAACTAAGGAACTGTGTTTCCTGAGAAATGTTTGTGACCGACAGCTAACAGACGAAGATATAACGACATAAACGCCATACTAGTATGCTTTGCATTTTATGAGAACACAATAGGATTCTTTTATACATATAGTGTAAAACCACATTAATGTATAACAAAGTGAAGGAGGAAGGCTAGGATAATTAATGGAGTATTCTATTGGCCATGTCACATTTCAAATCGCTGTCAATTTCAGAGAATAGAACATTATGCTTGTGAAGTAAAGGAATACTGAAAGGCACTTAAACTATATAGTCCAACCGGGAAGCAGGGATGAAGTGAATAGGATAGAGGAATCCTGACTTACTATAAAATCCACCTCTGCTATAACTGGCGTCGTGTTTTACTTTGGTTTCCTTAGCGAAAGAGATGCTGATGAGATAGAAGCGCTTCATTAGGGTTGGCAGTACACTCTAAGAAGCAGTTAATCTTGCATTAAGAATAATCATCTGTTAACAGAATAAATCCACTGGATCATTCATAATACAAGATTCGTATTTCACTTCAATCACTATGGGTTTCTCCTGACTGTCATTTGAATTCGTGACGCGTAACTATTGCTTGATTGTATTGACACTAGCTGCCCACAGTCAGAACTTCTTATCGCTATCGAAACCTTAGTGGATTAGAGGTGGGGGCATGATATTGATTACCATTTTGACTATCTGAGACAGCAGCCATAGTTTGGCAGATTAGTATTTATACTGGGTGATTATTATTATCATCACTTTCATCATTGGTTTCATTCATCGAACAAATCAATGAAAGTCCGTTTGCCGCACTCTTGAAGTAAACAGATATCCCAGGGATTTCGTAAGAAGAAAATTTAAAAGGTGAGATTAAGGATTTACTGAAACCCCTTCTGAAGAACTGGATAAACACGGTCATAATCTCATGCCATAAGGAGACTTCAAAAGAAATCAGAAGGATTCTCATTAACATGACATAAAGTTTTCATTTGTGTAACGAGTGCCCTACGCTGTAACTTAATGGAAGGTAAAGATGTAGTATCTCAAGAAAATCAACATAACTGCATCTATGAAATCTGATGCGGAGATTGTACAGGAGTATATGTAGGGGAGACAGACAGATAGATAAATGTAAGAGTGAAGGAGCACAAAACATGTCTAAAGCAGGTTTTAGAAATCCCAGCAGAGGTTAAGAAACTAGCAGAAGTGGGCCATAAAATTGACTTTAACGGAACCAACGTTCTACGAAAAGGTTTCGCGTCATACTAAGAAAGATTGACAACCCAAAATCTACATGTGCGGGTGAATGCAGACAGTCGGAAGAGACAAGATGGAGTACAGTTATCTGCCTCTTGGTAATTTGTAGTTAGTAATCAGGGGGAGTGACTGTAGCTCTCATCTTCAACATCAGTCTCAACTTCTACATCTCTGCATCAGCATTAACAGACTGGATGGATTTGATTCATTATTATTATAATGATGATCATTTCGACTATCTGAGTTAGCCATGGTTTGGCAGACTAGTGTTTATAGTAGGTGATGACTGAAGGTGAGATGAAGATTTTAACCGCAGCCAGATTCGAACCAGTGACTATGGGGTTACCGGCGCGATACTGTTACCAACTCGCCTACGAGGTTTGACAGCTGACCAGATTTTTAGTTTACTTCAGTCACAAGTGGGGTTTTATCCAACTACCATATGAATTCATGATGCCACTTGATCGTGTTCCTGCTGGCTGCCCACAGTCAGAACTTCTCATCCCACTCGAAATCTAACTGAATTCGAATGAAAGAAAGACATCATATTGATTATCATGTGATTATCTGAGATCCCAGCCGTAGTTTGGTAGATTAGTAGTTATACTGAGTGATTATTACTATCGTCACTTCCATTATTGCTGTGATTCATCTATACTATTCAACACCATATCCCGACTGAAATGACATATATATCCACGTCATATGTTTTATTCTACTTATAAAATTACCAAGTGACTATTATGTTACTTATGCCCTATTTTTGTCTGATAGTTGCAATCCAGGCGAATGCGAATGTTAACACACATACACACAGATTGGGCAAGTACCAAGAGAAACACGATTTCACACTGGATGGTTAGTTATCTTATTAAAGTATCATAGACAGTGAATAAACGAAAAGGATTGGACAAGGAGAATAAATACACGTCTCTGCATTCATTTATGTCATCCTCGATATTTTAATTTAACTTATCTGCCTGAAGAAGATCGGATCAGACTTCCATGCGAAACGTTGAATTTATTTTACTTCGAACACACTATGACTTACACATATAAAACATACAGATATAGAGTATGCTTGTTTAATATGATTCTCACAGTTTACTCATTGTTCACAGTAAGAATAATGTGACGATTGCACCGGAGTAAGTAGTTTATTTGGATTACTTCATTTTCTTGTTCTTCAATATGGCTGACATTCCCCATTATACTTCTAGTTGTATTCACGACCATCATAGAATTTATACGTAGTGACTAGATCACCTGTCTTATTATGTTTCTACTTGGTTTGAGACCAATAATTTTGTCATTGCAGGTTGTTATCCACGTCGTAGTATTCAGTGCACAGACTGTGACTGTGGAATGCTCACAGTGGATTGGCTGACTCTATCATAGGTAGTTGTGATCTAAGTCTTGTGCAGGAGATATGATTCTTTCGAGGAAATGGTTTCTTTGTTCTGAAGTCTTCCATTGAAAATAAGTGAAGAAGATGACTTGAGCAGTATAACATGGTGATATTTTGTTTTGTCAGTTTTTCGTCAAGTGATCACAACCTGAAACAGTTGAATATATCGCCAAGGAAATGAAAGATAGATGTTGCAGTCCATTGAAGCTCTTCAGTGGGGAACAGTATGATGTAATATAGAATAGAGGAAACATTACGATGAAGTTAGGCGGTCATGCTGAGAAGATTCGTTCACAAATGTGATTGATGCAACAGGGACATGGGGAAAATAATGTGATTAGTAATGACAAATTACATGAGCAGGTCGACAAGTGATTCAGTAACAGACTAATTGTATATTCATGTGATGAGTTGAACTCAGTTGGTGAAACGGTCATCGAAATTGTGTACAAGCAGGAGAAAGTACGAGTCAGGTAATTGTGTTTACAAGTTTATGTGTATGTTAAGAAGAGAGAAGACGGTATGGGTTGGATCCTTGACGATGGATGGAAGGTTTACGTGTCAGGGTAACAGGTGGTTTGAGTAGTCCATCCACTTGTCATCTTAACAACACACGACATTAAGTAGATATGACAGTTTCCTGTATGGCTGGACTGTCCTCCAGGTTACACACCTCAGTATGGTGTAGCGATGTTGACTGAGAAAGTTTCATTGTGATGTTAATCAGAATTACGTCGGTAGGCTAGTTTGATCGTCGAACTTGACCTTGAAGTTTACGTCTGAGTGAAACTGTAATTTTAAATGTCATTTTAGTCGTAGGTTTGCTGGGAATCTTGCATGTGGTTTTCTACAATGCCCCTCGTCTATGTTGCAAGTGTATAGAGACCGTCAACCGCTTGCTGGTCTCCTTTTAATGAATTCTCCTATCACTCCCTTTACTTTCCCGATGTGTTCTTAACAACCAGTGGATAGCGTCATGGGGACAGTTATTAGGGAGTAAGTTTGAAGTGTTATGACTTATTGCCTAGACTCTCAGCTCAGTTAGTCAGACAGTAGTCTGTAGCTACGATATCTGAAGTAGGATGAGATGACATGAAGTCTACAAATTTGTTGTGATTCGATTGTCTTTATTGCAGACAGTTGTGTCTGAACCACCATCTTACCTTCAATTCGCTTTGAGAGAAGACAAAGTTAGTTCTTTTTCTTCGTCTTTCACCTCGAAGGTTGATCATCGTCTATCCACCACCGAGTTTTAGTACTTTCCACGCATATATACACTATCGTTTAGAATAAAGCTAGTTATCATCAGTAAAGAAAGAGGCCAAAAGCAAGATATTGTTATTAGGTGAACTTTCAGTTGGACTGTTACCAAATAGGTGTGGTTGTTTCGCCAAAAGCTTTTCATCTCGCCAGTATCTTCTTCTCAAAATGTGACAGGGTATCAAGAGTGAAATGTTGCAGTCATCTTCAATGCATATCTGTTGTAACTAGTAGATGGAGCTGATTGATGCCCATGTTATTCACGCTGTTTATCGATGTGGACAATAGTTAGTTTTAGAACTTCCTACACGTATTTTCCTTGAAGTGCTGCGGAGTCAGTCAACTTTCTTTGTAAATGCTTATTGCAGAGGATAGTTAATAGTGAATACTAGTTGTAGTTGAAACTACTCACTCGATACTAACTCCTAAATGTTTTAGAATACCTTATACTGATGAAGCTGCAATATATACCTATCAACCAGTCACTTTCAATGTACACACATAATGTCAATTATAAGGGACTGAAGAAGTTTATTCAATCTGCATTGGTGAAATGAAGGAGTTGAGGCGCATCCAAACTTCAAGTTAACATGAGGTAACAATTTGATGATCACAGTGTAAGGAATATTTACATGTGAAATGAGAAATCTACACTGTAATAACTCGTGAATATTTAGACATAATTGTAACTTATAGGAACCTTTTCCAATATTTTCAATTGAGTAGGAATTTGGATGAAATATCATCAGGAATTTCATAATGTTGACAGATTGACTGGTGTAGTTAATTTCTGTGATTTCTACAGTTTCAAGAAAACTGTATCGATGGTAACGTGAGTTATTGTTATACATTTAAATTATATGACAGTTTATTGTATACATATCTATCAAAATCTCGAGATCTTTCTCTGAATGTCACGACAATCATTGAGTATTGATGAAAATCTCTCAACTTATTTTTCTGTTTGGTACTTTTCATAATACAAAAAAGTCACTATCGTAGATGATGCATGTCGATTAGTTTTCGATGATTGATCTATTTCACGTTTTCATGTCGTTCGTGTTGACTGAATACATCTGAACATTTGTCAGTCTTTACAGCAAGCTTGATGACAGTATTACGATACTTTTTTTTAATCACTAATGTGTTTTTGCATATGGAGGCAATCCGTTTTAATCCGTCAATTTAAATATCTTATTCAGTCATTCAGTCATATCCTTAACCAGTAGAGTTCATTTGTAGCTTTTTACCTCTAGAATAGCTGATACGATTTTGAAGCCTCGAGAGGGTATCAATTTACTTCAGTTTGGAGATGTATATTACTAAAGACTGGCAGAAAAAACAAAACAGGGTTTTATGGCTGTCTGTTAATTTTTTTTTCTATTCCATTAATATGCTTTCAAAGTGCCTGGTAATGGTATGATTCTTAATTTGGTGGCTACCATGGAAACTTTATCGTTAGACTCGATGAGCATTGAGTAATATGAATTTTTTAGAGTTAAACTGAATACTTGCTAGTTATTAATTCATAAAATCAATACTATTCTATGTCACAAAAACACTCCTCAAAGTCTGCAGTATCTAGATACTGATGGAATTCAAAAATGTGAATATGGATCATTGAAGAAACCAAGCGGGTGCTCATAAGGTTATTTCAACTACATAACTAATTCTTACTTTCATCGACTATACAAACAGTAGAGTGGCAGTTATGTAGGCTTTCCTATCAAATTATTCAATTTCATTTCACATTAGGCATAGTTGAATTTAACTGCAATATATAACAATGTAGGCATAGCAAGGTTCTTGATACATCTTGGTGATGACTGAAGCTAAACACGAACCCTAGATCAAGTAGGGTTTCTTCCAGTTTCCACCATCCGACTAGCATCTAATCTAAGCTATCTTATTTGCTTTATTATTAACATCATTGATTATCGTCTAACTTTTTCAACGTTCTGTTGATTTGAAAATCTTTATTCACCTTTGTTATTACAGTAAGCTAGTAGAAGAAATCAGGTAAGAGGTAGAGAGAGAGAGTTTGTCTACAGTTTATTTTCGAATTATTTTAATTTCTTACTTTGAATGTAAATTGAATATTATGAATGTGAATGACATCCACACCATTACTCTGTTTACTATTCTGACTACCTAAAGATTTGATTGTTTTCGAAGACTCTAATCTTCCCAAACTTAATTAGTGTCTCGGTAATCAGAGTGGAAGGCTAGATTCAGATCATATTGTTGACTATATTGAATTTATCTGATGAGATCGGTCTTAAAAGATGTCGCTAAGCCTTCTGTATTCACAGCCAATATCTTTCTGTGGACAGCTGTTTTCTGTTTGTTTTGAAGAGATGACTTCACTTATCACTTGGCTTTTGATATCTGTTCCTTTAAAATATCGGCCTATCTATGTTCACAGTAGACAGATAGAAGACAGAGGTGATGATGATACCCAACCAATAACAACAAGCTTCAACCACCATCAACGGTAGAAACTTAAAGAAGTAGCCCCTTTCAACAATCTAGGCAACACTGTTTCAACTACAGGCGGCACAGCATAGACGAGGACATCAAAGACAGCCAGGATCGGGAAAGCAAGACAAGCGTTCATTAACCTGAAACCAGTGTGGAGATCTTCTGCACTACACTCAGTATAAAGCCTGAACAACATTCGAATTTTCAACACCAATTCAGTCAAGTAACTCACTGCTTCTATATGGTTCAGAAACTTGGCATGTTATGAAAGGGATTTGCAACAAACTACAGATATTCATCAACAACTGTCTACACTGGCTCGTTACTGAAGATGGAGATCAGATGGATTGCCAGAAATAATAAGCAACAAGAAACTCACTCCGAGAACGGACCAACCAATAAGGTTTTGGTCAAGAAATATGCACTGGAAGGAAGTGGAGATGGATTGAATAGGCATACAGTGAGAAGGCGACTGGGGACGTGACATGTCGGGCCAGGTGGTCGAGTGGAACCCGAAGAGGGAACGACGAGTTGGGTGTCCGAGGTGAGGGTGACATGGAGGGGGTGGTGTGAGGAAGAAATGAGAGCTTGTGGGCAGTCATGGAGCCAGGTTGAAAAGATTGTAGAGAAGAGAGTGGAATGGAGACGTGCTACTGAAGCCCTATTTTCCATTAGGAACTTTAAGGACAAATAATAATATAATAATGATATGCACAGTTCTTTCAAACGTGAAATTACTGCATAAATAAAGCACATCCTGTCAGTAGTTTCTTGTGCTTTTTGTGAAATCTTTGGTTGAAGAAGTTCTGTTGAATTGGACTAATATTATCTGGGTAAAAGCTTTATACAATCTGAAAATGTCTACAAATTACTTTTCTTTAAATAATCACTTCGAACATTATAGATATTTTATCAGTTACGTGACTTTCCAAAAGGAAACAGAATATTCTGATATATAGACTGTTCAGTTATGACATATACGACTTACTGTCTTACCTGAGAAGGTTTAACTGCATTTTTTCTAGAAAGATGAAGTATTTGAGCATAAGTATAACGCTTCATTCACACACAGAACTCATTTGTAGAAAAAGCTGTTGACTGCTTTAGATAACTTAAAGAAGATTAATGGATCGTAGGTGTTGTCATAGTATTGCTCGCGCTTGGTGGAATCACCATGTAAGAAGCATCCAGGTCAGACGAAGGGTACTAGGCAAGCAAAGCAAGTCGATTGATAGGATTGTGAACCTTTATGGACTGAGGTGGCTTGAACGTGTTCTACGTATGGATGCCCGCAAGTGCCATCCTAGAGAAAGTTGGATTACATTGGAATAAGGTTCAGGGTGACCCGACCAAAATGTGACAACAGTGTGTGAAGTCTCTGATTCTTGCTCTGAACCATGCAGAGAGGTGTAGACTACCTGACTGGGGTCCCTGAGACGACAGGAATTAGTGGTTGAAATGAATGACAAATTGGTCACAATGGCGCAGGTGTATTCACTCTTTGATTTCTTCTAAAGCTTGAATGTTTCGAGCAAATTTCACTTTAAAATTCCCTCTCCTTCCATACACCTCTTTTAACTTTGACATATCTTTTTCAATGTTCTTGTTCTTTGCGTGCTACCATGAAATATGGCAACTTGAACTGACAACAGAAATATCTAATAAGCTTTAAAAATACCGGAATAAACAACCTTTTCTGACATTCTAAAAAGTATGTCACAAGGTGAATAGCATAACCACATACTCTTTTGCATTGATGTAAATAGAAGGCATAATTGTAACAAATTCCGATAAAAACTCGGATAGAAATAGACTCTAGTGTTTAGAATTCACAGACGAAATTTTATAGTCAGTAATTACAAAGTATCAAATCGACTTTATCTCAATCTCAGGAAAATGGAGACGCAGTCTACTTAACACAAGGTCAAGAAGAGGAGCAGATGTAGGTTCAGACCAGTCACTGTCTAGTGCAAGGAACCTTCCAAATCAAGTTAAAAGCCTTCAAGGAAGCTGGTGATAGACCTCAATTCAAGTACAACACTCGGAAACTGAAGGATGCAACTACAAAGGAAATCTTCACGGCAGCCATCAAGACAAATGGGAGATATCGAGCAACATCCGTGAAGAGACCTGTGTGGAAGAACACTGGAAGTCTTTGAAAGCTATGTGGAAAGAAACCTGCACAACAGTATTAGGAAGGAAGAAGAAAGAAGACAAGGAATGGATCTCGACGGATACCTGGAAGCTGATAGAGGGAGAGGAGGATGGTGAAGCAGAAGATAAACCAGTGCAAGGATGCTCAACGACAAGAGAAACTGAGCACAATGTATAAAACACTGGACAAAGAAGTGAAGAAGAGTGCACGCAAAGACAAAAGACACTTCTACGAAACACTAGCAAGTGATGCAGAACAGGCCGCAAGTAGGAGAGACCTGACGACATTGTATCAAATAACCAGGTTGCTATCAGGGGCGAGACCAAGACAGATGAAACCAATAAAAGATGAAGAAGGAAATTTAATTACGAAAGAAGAGAAACAAAGGAAACGATGGGCCGACCACTTCAAGAAGCTCTTGAATCGAGCACCACCTGCACTTCGTCAAGAAATACCATCTACAGCCACAGAACAACAAGTGAACATAAATCCTCCAACAAAAATGGAAGTCCTGAACGCCATAAAGCTACTGAAATGCGGGAAAGTAGCAGGACCAGATGGGATCCCGACAGAAGCACTGAGAACAGATGCAGAGACAACAGCGGACATGCTCACACCACTATTGCAGAAGGTGTGGAAGGAAGAGAAGGTACCTGGCCATTGATTGGAAGAAGGGTTACCTTGTCAAACTGCTGAAGAAAGGAGACCTCAGTGCTTGCAAGAACTGGCGAGGAATCACTCTCCTGTCCACCCCAAGTAAAATATTAAGCCGCATCATCCTGGAGAGGCTTAAAAATCCACTGGATTCGAAACTACGACCGGAACAGACAGGCTTCAGGAAGTACAAATCATGTGCAGACCAAATTGCAACGCTTCGTATCATCATAGAACAGAGCATAGAATGGCAATCACCTCTCTACCTCAACTTCATCGACTTTGAGAAGGTCTTTGACAGCGTCGACCGAGAGGTAATTTGGAAACTGCTTCAATACTACGGAATACCACAAACATTTATCAATCTCATTCAACAACTATATGAAGATGCTACATGCCAAGTAATCCACAATGGGAAGCTCAGTGATGCCTTTGAAGTGAAGACAGGAGTGAAACAAGGTTGCCTACTATCCCACATGATATTCCTGATTGTGGTGGACTGGACTGGATCATACAGCAAACAGTGGGCAGCGAGAAGAGGGGGATACACTGGACTACGGAAAAGAACCTAGAAGACTTGGATTTCGCCGATGACTTATGCCTAATGTCACATAAACTTGAAGATCTGCAGGCAAAAACTAACAAGTTGATAGAAGAGGCAGCGAAGACGGGACTTCAGGTGAATATAGAGAAGACAGAGGTGATGAAGATACCGCACCAACCATCAACAACAACAACAACAACAAACTCCAATCACCGTCAACGGGAGAAACTTAAAGGAAGTAACCTCCTTCACTTATCTAGGAAGCACTGTTTCAACTACAGGCGGGACGGACGAGGACGTCAAAGTCAGAATCGGAAAAGCAAGACAGGCGTTCATTAGCCTGAAACCAGTGTGGAGATCTTCTGCACTCAGCATGTGGAACAAGATACGGATTTTCAACACCAACGTCAAGTCAGTGCTCTTGTATGGCTCAGAGACTTGGCGCGTCACGAAAGGTATTTCCAATAAACTACAGACATTCATCAACAACTGCTTATGCTGGCTCGCTACTGAAGATCAGATGGACTGCCAGAAAGAATAAGCAACCAGGAGATCTGGGAACGAACCAACCAAGAACCTATCAGTCAACAAATATGCAGGAGGAAATGGAGATGGATTGGCCATGCACTGAGAAGGCCGACGGAGGACATCACGCATCAGGCCAGACACTCGAGTGGAATCCCCATGGGAAGCGACGAGTTGGACGTCCGAGGCAAGGGTGACATGGAGGAGATCGTGAGAGGAGGAAATGAGAGGTTGTGGGCTGTCGTGGAACCAGGTTCGAAAGATCTCAGAGAACAGAGGTCACTGGAGACGTGCTGCTGAAGCCCTATGTTCCACTAGGAACCCAAGGGACTAATAATAATAATAATACTTTGAAAACTATTGAAAAATTAATGAAAAAAACCCAATGAAGTTATCTTGACATTTTCAACATAGTATTCAACAAGGACTGATTTGAATTGAAAAATTATTCAAAACTTTGAAACAGTGAACAGCTGTTTCTATCAATTATAAGACTTACCAGCAGTATGCACTCATGATTCCAACTGATGTCGCACTACGACGAATACCAATCAGTCAACACAAACGTGTAAACTAAATTAAGCAATTTTTAGTCAATCTGCATGAACTGACCCATTCATATTGATTTATCCGAATACGCAACAACACTACAATGAGAGA